AGAAATTAGAATTTGAATTTAATTTTTAGAAATTAAGATGTAAATCTAAATTTAAATTTTAAATCTAAATTTAAATCTAAAATTTAAATTTAAAAATTGTTGGAATTTCTGAAAATTGCAAAAAAAAAATGAAAAATTTTTAAAAATTCTCTAATTTTTAAAATACTTAAAATTTTTAGATTTTAGAATTTCTAAAAATTCTAAAAAAATATAGAATTTCTAAAACATTTTTTTAAATCTAAAATGTTTTTAGAATTCTGAAAATTTCTAAAAATCTAGCAATTCTAAAATCTAAGAATCTAAAAATCTAAAAATGTGCTAAAACTTTTCTAGAAATCTAAAGAAATCTTAAATTTCTAAACATTCTAAAATATTCTAAAAATATAGCGAATCTAAAAATTGGTTGAGAAATCTTAATTTTAGAAAAACATTTTAGAAATCTAGAAATCTAGATTTTGTGAAGCCATTCTAGAAATCTAAATTCTAGAAAATTCTAGATTCTAAAACTCAAAATTTAGAAGCCATTTTAGGATGTTCGAGAAATGTGGTACATTGGGTTTTAGAGAGAGAGAGATGGAGTTTTGAGAGTCCCTTTTCTTCTTGTACTTGTTGATTTGGAGCTCAGCTATCTCAATCATATCCCTCTTTGAGAGAGAGAAAGAGGGAGGGAGAGAGAGAGGAGAAAGAGACGATGATAAGTTGGGTTTTAGAGAGATATGGAGTTTCGAGAGAGAAAAAAAGTTTAGATAGGATATTATTTGTGTTTTTTTTAGTCAAAATTTTACGATCAAAGGGGTCTACGGGGTTATAAGATAAAAAAGTTGAAGACTTTTTGCTTACAAGTAATATTTTCAATTCTAAAATATTATAAGATATAAAAGTTAAAAATATAGGATAAAGGACTATTTTCCCTAAAATAAAATAGGAAAGAGAGAGAGGGGCAGGCCCTTTATGCTTCTCCTACAACATAAAACTTATATACTTCCCATATCCAACCATCCATTTTGAATGGACGGCTTAGATGACCCAAATTAAAATGTCATGTCTCGTTTTATTTTTAATATTTTTTATACAAAATATTTTTACACCAAATTTTGGGTGTCCACCTCTCTCTTAAACTCGCACCTACAAAAATATTAAAAAATATTCCCACCTAAATAAAACTGACCAAAATGCACTTGAAAGTTTCAGAAGTATTTTGGTTATTATATTTTAGTTAAAATATTTTTTTAATATTTTATTTTGGTTCGACCTAATGAAATGATGACACGTGTAAAATTTTGTATTCATATAGCTAGTAGAAAAATAAAAATAAAATATTATGAGGCGTCATGTCTAAATTGAACGGTTAGTGATTCGATCTAAATTGAACGACTGGATGGAGGGGGAAGTATATGTATTTCATCTAGGCAGCAAAGAAAATTTTATAGCTAGAGGTGAAACTAAATTTTTAGGCTGTTACAAAGTTTTCGGTGCTAATGAAATATCATCGTTTGACCATATATAGAGGTACGCCTCACTTTGGTTTTTTAGAGCCTCAACCGTATACAAGCCGGACCCTTTTTTACGAGGGATTATTTTGGCACCTTTTTTTGAGCCGGTGCGCTTTACACGACGTCCATCTTTGAGATGGACGTTGAAGGATCAGCGGGCTAGTAGAAAACTTTTCCTTTATTATTTGAAAAGATTCTAATTGATCCAGTTTCCTGAATTTTGCCCCCAACGTCTCCCGTTCCCGCCACTAGACCACTAACCCTAACGTCTCTTTTTCCCTCCATTAAACCGCAATGCCTCTCTCTCTCTCTCCTCCATTTGGTATCTCTCTCTCTCTCTCTCTCT